GGATGGATGGGTGGACGAAAGAACGAGCGAACGACGATGTAACAGCTATACTACCACCCAGCAAGGTGGGTCCTTACAGCAATACATGAAAATCATAAAACTATTACCCTCTACAAGACAAATTACTATAGATCATTATCATAAAGTCGACGCCCTAATATGTAATTAAATAAAATAAATGAAACGCTAAACATATATATTTTATGACATATCTGAAATATAACGCGCATGCTGATTGGCTTGATTAAACACTTGATAAAACAATTGCAAAAAGAATATGCTCGAAATTTAGGGGCCGATCGTTTATTACGTCGCAGGGGGGCGGTGATTTTAGAGAGGGTATATTTCAATCTCGTACCCTGACCATGAGGAACGTGGGCTCTGGGTACGAGATTGGGGTATCTTTATGAAAGAACATAATTTGTGGGGGGGGGGGGGGTAAACTTTGGTTTTGAGGAATAAAAAAAGGAAAATAGTAAACTAAATGGCAATGAAGAAGGGAGGGTACGTTTATCGTAGGGGAATACAAATTCTACTCAATTCTCTCCCATCCCCACAAAAATCCACCAACCCCCTCCCCCACGAAGTAATCATTTAAAACGATCGCTTATAGTAAGATACAGGTTCAATCGGGTACTATCGTCGTGTACGGATTAACGAAGTACGTCATAGGTTTCCGAACACACGAGTGGGACTTAGAAATTTTGGTTCTCCTCACTTAGAAAAAAAATTAAGTGAAGACACCAAGAATCGAACTCGGTACCTTCGGCACCAAAGAACTACTACAATGCCAACCCCAACCCTAACCCTAACCCTAAACCTAACCCCTAGACCACGAAGTGAATTCGGTTGGGTGGTCTCATTTTTTAGTCATATTTAAACGATGTATCATCAGCGCGTGCACATAAATATTTATTATAGTTTAATTTATGCTATCGTAGGGTACGATTACTAGCCGATTACTTGAAATTTGAATTTGAATAGAATTCCCCTGACCATTCCCGTACACGGCGATACAACCTTCAATCGTTCTTCCAAAGTATTATAGTGCAATAAATAGAATTAAAGATATGAAAATCTAGAATCAAATGCACAAAAACAACAGAAATTAAAAACCCTTAACAATAATGATTAATTTGCTTGATTAGGGTAAGTCCCGATGTTACGCTTCACCTTATTTAGCCTGCATAGCAGACGACTACAGCTTATTCGAATGATCTCAATTATTCTCTAATTGGAGCTTAAACTGAAAGCTTTAACTGAAATTTTAAGTAACATTTAGGTTTACAATGCGTGTTGCTTTTAAAGAAAAAAAACACGAATAGATGTGTTTTTTAGCAGGAAGTATACGTTTTAGAGGAGTAAGCTAAGCTTGTGTATTTTCAATGTATAACATGTAGCAACATGTTCATGTCAGATATGCAATTTGGAAATTCAACTGATCACAACGAATAATCATGATTCATTATAATAAACCCTACGATGACAAATACTTACCTTCAGAACCTCTGTTAGGGGTAAAACAAACAGCCAACCATAAGCATCGTAGAAAAAGGGGAACATTTTGGACCCTGCTAAAGGCTAGCATCTTTCCACTCGAGGTTTATTTGGTCACGCAAGGATAACTTTATTTGAATTAAAATCACCCAATAAGGTCACGTCATCACCACAGCATCTTCAACAAAATCGGTTTCACATTGCTAAGTATCAATGCACTTTGCTATGTTTCTCAGTTTTATTTACTTCCGTTGACTTGAAGATGTTGTCACCAAACCCGTGAATAATATTTAGTACTAATTAGTAGTAAATTCATACAGAATCCTTTGTTTTCTATTGTTTGATTATCACTATTCTTCGATTGCACGTTACGTCATCGCGGACATGTTGGTACCATTTAACAAAAGATTTCTTATTAGCGTCCATTGTTAACGGCACCACAATGGCCGCCATGCTTGGGTCTTTTAACTCTCTTGGGAATGCTTGCAAACCATCAATTTAGTACTAAAAATTAGTATTTGTTCACGGGTTTGGTGCGAGTACTCTATCAAATGAGATGCAGAATGTAAAACATACGATTGCTTAACCACGAAAGTTTGTGGAATTTTTTTTTTTAACTTGACTTTGTGCAATACTTATGTCGGATACATTAGAAGATAAGCAAGACCAAAATAAGTTATTTGTATAAATGTATACTACGACCTTTCTGCAATCAAGTGTATAAAAAGAATAAAGGTAGTTGCCAGTGGCTTACACGCCTATGGCCCTTGCAACTTGTTCCCATTTCAGACCATGTGCCATTCTTTAATAAATAGGATTCTTTGTTTCATTTGCATCCAAATAAAGAAATGACACTCAAGGGAATGACATGTTACATGTGGTCTGAAATAGACAAAACATTATGCCCAAGGTAAAGAGATATATTTAAAAGTGAATTTTTGTTATGAGAGGAAAACTGGAGAACCGAGAAAAAAAMCCACCAAATGCAGGAGAACAACTTGGTATATAATTTAACACCGAGTCCAGGAATCACGGAAACTCAGATCGTATTAGTCAGAGGCGAGTGAACTATCACTGCACCATTTGTGTGATACAGGACCTGGATTGACTCTAAATCAGGCTGTGATACACTGTCCTGCTTTTGTCATCAGAAGTTGAATTTAGAGGGAAGCTGATGTGGGAATTTTTTTATAAAGAATCACTTAGGTATTACTCCAAGACATTTCTATGGAAATCACTAGGAAGGGCGAAATGTTTTGTTGGAATGCTCATCTCACAGAAGTAGATTTATGTACCACATGATAGGGTTTTTGGGTACCAACTGATTTCTTTTTGAGTAGTATGCACTTGTAGAAGTGTTCGATAGAGACAATAGACAATGGAAGGGGTTGAGCAGAAACTGTAACGATAAATTTACCATGCGAACAAACTTGGAATATTGCCATAATTATCTGGACTTCGTGCACAAAGTTGATCCATTTAAACTGAAGTGTTTGGACAAGAGTGATGTTCTTTTTCGAGAAACTCATTCCATATGGTACTTAAAAATCTCATTTAAGGGTACATAAATCTAGTGCGCAAAGACATGCATTCCAACAGAAATTTTACCACTCTAAAGATTTCCATAGTATTGTCACATATCATTCTGCCATGCCTGGATCCACTCAGGGATGAGGGATAATAATACAAATGTAATTGTTGTACTTACTCCCCCTCCCTCCCCCCTCCCCCCACAAACATAATAAATAGTTCACCCATACTGTAGGTAAGAGAGTAGTTCAGAAGCAAGACACATTTAAGATGAGATATAATTACTTGTTTAACTCTAGTCACTCCTAGATTACAAGTTAACTTTGTACATAAAAGCTTGCCAAATTATCGGTAACATCAAAGAAATTAATAGACCTTATTCAAATTCCCTGGAGTAACCATTTAGAAAATGTCTCCAAGTTGAAGTTGGAGTTGATATGATACAGTAAATGTATAAACCTGTCGGCTTGGACACATTGTTTTGTGGTCGCTAAAGTGAAGTCTGAAAAGGTATATTAATATTGATTTGTCATTTCTTTTCTGTTGTTTCACCAGCTGTTATCTCTGGTTGGGACTCTTGTGTTCTGTAAGTAGGGAACTGCTCCCATGTGGGAGAGATGTCAAACTTCCTGAACTCCTGAGCCATTTCTATTGGTTCGCAAACCAGTCGCTTGAGCTCATCATCATAGCGAATCTACAATGACAAAGCAATGAACGTCAGCATCAGAGAAGTAATATTAAGGCATGGCTGTCTTACTGAGTTTGAAGTCTTGAGAAAATACCTCAACTTCTAAATTAAACTGACCCTTCTCAAAATTATCTTCGATTCAAGGCAACACATGAAAATATGAAAGAAATTATACAATCACTGTGACATTGTTTTGTATTTTCACATCAGCCTCACATCAAACATTATTTTTTGAGAAAGGTCATCAATTTTGTTATTGTCCAAGTTGTGCATTCTTCACGTTACAGTTGACTTTTGTGAATAGTGTCCTTCATGGTTCCTCTGTCACATTGAATGAATTATCATAATCAAAATTGAAACAATATGAATAGTGAGTCACATATTTAATAAATAATAATAAATAATAATAATAAATCTTTATTTATCCTCACTTAATAAGATATCACACGAGTGCTAGTTTGAGCGAGCTAAAAACTAAAAGTTTTATAGGTATGATAAGAAATATATAAAAGAAGGGGAAAAAAAGCTATAATACATACATAATAATAYGATACTATTAGAAAGTATGTCATGTTTATAGATGAGATGATAAAAGACACTGCAATGTCTTATAAACAACAGAACAAGAAACAACTCACCATTAATCCTGTTTCCATGTTAATTTAACAATTTATTCAATACATTGGCAGAGGGACTATTATTTGCTCTTTTAAAAATGAGGCTCAACCTGTGTATGTACTAAAGGATACAGCGATACGAGGGTGCAGTACTTACCTCTACATAGCCACTAATTGGGAAGTCTTTTCTGAATGGATGACCTTCAAATCCATAATCAGTCAAGATTCGACGTAAATCAGGATGGTTAGAGAAGAATACTCCATACATATCCCATATCTTGAGTACAAAAAAAGGTAAGAATAGAAGAATAAAGAAGTCAATTTAAGATGATAATAAAAAAACAGTCCTTTTTTTCACGAGGGTAGCACTTAATAGCCAGTGGCTAACAAACCTGTGGCCCTCATTCCGTGATCGAATTGGAATTTAGGAGTTGATTTTTGCGGAGGGAGGAAAACCGGAGAACCCGGAGAAAAACCCTCGAAGCACAGGAGAGAACCAACAAACAACTCTACTCATATACAACACCGAGCCTGGCGGGACTTGAACCCGGGTCGCATTGATGAGAGGTGAGCGCTCACACCGTTACGCCACCTGGGCAGTACTAAATGTGCAGTTATCAATGTTTTTGATTCCATGRAATATGCCTATCATTTTCAATACATATGTAAATATGATAATAATAATATTCTCATACAATCGTATAACTAGGAACTAAACATATTTTATTAAAATACATATATAAAAATATGAAAAAGTATTAAAACTATTCGTTAACAGTACTGAATAATGAAAAATCCTTTGTTTTCTATCAAATAAAAAGCACTAATGTTTTCCAATAATTTTCCTACATAGGAGAAGTAGGTCAGACAAAGAATAATCAAAAGTGTAACTTGTGTTTCGAATAGTTCCTGTTTCTTCTAATTTCCTCTTTTACTCTGACGAAGGACCAATATCGGGAACGGTTTACCCTGAAACATCAGTGCAGTAGTTACAAACTGTTTTACAAGGTGTTTTAATTTCCTCGTTATTCACCTGTATTCTACACATCAATGCAGTCAAAACTAGTGACCACTATTCGTTATGATATTTTATTCGTATAGCTATGGTAGACTAACTCACCTCTCTTTCATACCAGTTAGCTACTGGATAAATGCTCGATATTGAATCAATAGCTGTCAGTTCATCTGTGTATGTCTTGACTCGAACTCTTGAGTTATAGTGCAGGGACAGCAAGTTGTAAATAATCTGAGAAAGTGGAAATTAGGAGGAATTTAATTTTTTTTGTAATAAGTTACCACTAAAAGGAAATCAAAGGTAGCAGAGTGGTAAGGCAATTACCTCAGTGTATCTCATCTTGGGTTTGATTACTGGACTCACATGTGAGCCAGATTGTGAGATTCATGTTTTTTAAATCTTTAATCATGCACTCTTAAGCCCTGTTTACACTGGCGATTTTTGCAGCGATTTTTGCAGCGATTTTTGCAGCGATTTTTGCTGCGATTTTTGTGGCAACTTTCGGAAATATGAAATCTTTTGTCTCATCCTTCAAAAGAGACATTCGTCTAGGAAAATCTTGGTATCCTGAAAAAAACTTTACAAGTAAATTCTTTACCATTATTCATTATGGACAATATTGAAAAAAACCGCAGCAAAAATCGCCACAAAAATCGCYGCAAAAATCACCGCAAAAATCGCTAGTGTAAACAGGGCTTTAAAACAGTTAAAGAACTATACTAAGAGATAATAATAATAGAAATAAAATATATATAAATATGTATATAAATATAATAGATTCATTAAATACAATAATAAAGTAGATATATAGTATACACACACACACACANACACACACACACACATACAACATACACACATATATACATGCACGCATACATATGGATTACATATATATATGCATGCACATAATACGTGACCAGAAGCATTGGTATAGATGTGATGTGTAGATGTAGAAAAATTGAGTGATCAACCAATCAATTCATTACGTTACTCCCTTGTCAGAGTATTTTATGGTTTTAGTTTGCAACCCAATTCTGGCTATACGATCAGCCCGGTACCATCAGACCAACATCACATTTCTTTGGCTGAGAATATCATTGATTTCATTACAGTATGTTTGAATTAGGGTCGACAAACTGGGCAACTGTAACTTTGCACCTAATGTTGCATGTAATAGTTGCACCATGCATCAAAACCCTTACTGCAATTTCAATGGCATACAAACTTGTGGTTGTGAGTTGCCCATTAGAATTTTGTTTTTTACATGCCACCAATCCAATCCAATGCCACCATAGTATTAATTTTGATTGACAAGAGCAAAGAACCAAATTTCAGCAAGTAGCTTGCAGCTATGACTTTGTGTAGTATTGAAAACTGCTATTAAGAGGCAATTGAGTTTTAATAGTAACAGTGTGAAGTGTTACCTCAATTTAATGATATCAATGTTTTCCCATTTCAGACCACGTGTCATTCACTAGAGTATCCTTTCTTTATTTAACGGTTGCACATGAGAAGAGACATTAATATGGATACAACTCAAACAAAGAATCTTATTCTCAAGGGAATGACAAGTGGTCTGGATGGGAAAACATTACGCCCAAGGTAAAGAGGTCTATTTGAATTCAATCTGTACCTCAAATCTATAGGGTCTTGTTGGCACATCCACAGCTGTCAGATCTGCTAAGGATTTGAACTGAGCATTTGTATGGTCTTTTAGGAAAGTGAGTACTGGAATTATACCCTCTGGTGAGATCAGAAACTCTAGTTCCTTTGTGTAATTCACTTGAGCAGACTGGATGTATTTAGGTAACATGGTGGACACATATTCACCAAATTCTGACAGTTGAACCAACTTTGCATCTTCTAAAAAAATACAAATTACATAAAATTTGAACTGTGTAAATATACAGTATGAAATAGAAAATGTGCTAGCATGCTGGATTCAGTTATATTGAAGAAATGGTTCATAAGTAGTGTGCATCGAGTTATGGATGCACGTGGGAGTTTGTTAAGCATGAAAGATGTGTAATGAGTAGCATGAGGCGATAGCCGAGTGCTACTCTAGCTTCTTAATTCTTAAGCAACATACTGTGTGCATCCATAACTTGATAGATGCACGCTACTTATGAATCATTTCTTTTATAAAATATAGGAAAAGCATAAAAAATATTCATTAATGGAGAAAAATTCTAATATTCTTTCTAGCGAAATCTGTATTACACAGCACGCTACTTAATTGACGTCAGCTTGCACTATCAGTTTTTGGATGCACGCTTGTGCATGCTTGTGCACTTAAAAACCAATTAGAGCGCGCATTATATCATGGCTATGTTATTTAAAGCAATGTATCTGGGGATTGGCAGAACAGGAGAAGCATACCCATAGCAGAACACATGCTTCTTAACACTTCTCAAGTGTTCTGCAAATTCATATATGCTTTATAACTGCACACAGCACAGCAAGCAAGATTTTTGCATAAAATACAGATTACTATAACCATTATTAATAATAACCATAGGAATAATATACACTGTAGAAAGTGCAAGCTCATGCCGTGGTGTCATGAAGCATGCAGTTACAACCAATCAGTTGACAAACTCAACTAACAAATTAAGAGCTTTACTACATTTATGTAATAAAATATTATAAGTAAATCCAAAAATTATCTAAGTGAGCAATAGTAATAACATAAATAAACAAACCTTTCACTGTTACTTCTGAAGTTAAAAGTCTTTTAGTAACACATGATGTACCCAGGAGACTTGGTCTCTGTAGACCTGGAAATATTTGAAATATTTGATTGTTAGTGATGTTGATACACACAGTTAGGAAGTAACAGCTTTACATTTGTCCAAGAAGATGGTAATGGTATTTTTCTGAAATACCCAAACCTTATATGAAAGTACTCTTTAAATCAATATCATTGAGTTTCTTTTTCATCTTATTGGGTAATTGTTTATGCACATATAACAGAGAGATATTGAAAAAAAACTACAAGAATCGTACAAAAACATCTTTATACTTGCATCATGTGAGTAAAACTTGTACATAAAACACTCCTAAACCATGTCTCAAGAAGATTAAACAAACTACAAAATATATAAATAATGTCAAGCTTAATTTGAGTGAGCAAATATACTTACTCTTTGTAAAATATCTCGTAGATGAGGGACCAACAAGCCTTGCTGAACTACAAACACGACTAAGGAAGGACGCCGCCATCTTGGATGTAAAAGACGCTAATGCGCATGAGCAAGCAAAGAAGCCAACGAAACACATGCAGGTAGCCCACTCGACCAATATGACCAAGGAAGCCCAAACTCAGTGTGGTTCAAAATATCAGCTAAAGCCAAATTATTTTATTTATTATTCCAAAGAAAAATGAAAGAGGAACGTGATCAAAATCTAGAAGCCTCTGTAGACCTTTTACACCTTGGATATGATTATTTCTTATTTAAGACTAATTAACAATTTTTCGCTGAAGACGAAGTGAATATTGGGGAATATTTACCGAGACGCGGTGATTCTTTCAAAAAAAGAAGATAAAAGACATTTTTTCCGGTAACAGCAACGAAGTGGCTGGCCGCAATTTTGGATTATCGTGTGATAGTGTGAGTTTCTCAACCAATCAGCACGCAAGATTTTCAATAATCACCTGTGTATTTTTACTAAATGTAATTATTCTCTTGAGTATTATTTATTCCCTAGAGATTTAAAATACAAAACAATGTGTTCAAACTAAAAGAATCTATTTAGACTCCTCTGATGGTCCTAGGTTCCTCTGCACCAGGAAGGGGGGGGGGGGRGGSGGGGGAGAATGCATTGGAGAAGAGCCTGTATAGCCTATATAAATTTACTAAGGCATATACCTATAGCACAGTTATTATTTTTGTTGGTTTTCTATTGAGGATTAACTTTTCTCTAAAATACAATTATTACTTGCTCTTCCAAATGCCAAAACCCACAAAATTGATCACATTTGAAGGTTTTTTTTAGAAAGAAATGGTTTATTCTAAAAAAACTAGATTAAAATAATTCATTTCCTATACAATATATATTTTAACTACATAAAATGCAGCTAGCTACCTACTATTTCCTCTATTTGACCTCCTGTGAAGGTAGCATGATAGCATGGTCTAGCTGAGTGGTGATCACTGCAACAGAATCCCTTGCACAATACCTTTCTTTTGTTCAGTTAATTAACACCAACTGTCTTACTATTCTTATTAGGCAATTCTAATTCAAATAATGAAATTAATGAAGCATTTAAGTAGCGGTTAGTAAAATAGTTAGTTAGTCCTATCCAGTTCCACAATTGAACTGTGATTTAAAACATGCTCTATGTACTAAAAATTACAGCAAACAGCATGCCCCTAGTTATGGTCATTCATGTTAGTTGCTGACAGCTTATGTCTCTCAAACTATTTGAGGCTTAAAATTTTTTTATTCACAGTAGATTTCACATAACTTTTGACAATCAGGTCCTGAAGTTTGTTTGGAAGTTCCGAAGTTTGATGACAAACTTCTTATATTCTTTACAAAATTTGAATCAAATTACTGAAGTTCAAAACAAAGTTCGGAATGTTTGTACCAAGTTTGGGAACTTAACTCTGTAGACTGAGCTGCACGCTGGAATTTGGTTTTTCGCTTCTGTCAATCAAAACCAATCAGTCAGTACCTTTGATATTTTGAATTGGTGACAGTAAAAAACCCAATTGCAGCATGCAGCTCAGTCTACAGAGTTTGCATGTTTATGAAAATAGTAGTTAAGTTCCCAAACTTGGAACGAACATTCCAGACTTGGTTTTGAACTTCAGTTATTCCTTATTCGTTATGAAGTTTGTTGACAAACCTTGGAACTTCGGAACAAACTTCGGAACCCAATGTTCAAAAGTTATGTGAAATCCATTGTAATTAGTAAAAACATTTTACATCATGCTGCTATTGCAGCCATCAAGGCTCCAGCATATACTACACTCAGTCACCAACCAAGAAACTGACAATAGACAAAATATATTCAAGAGAGAAATATACTTCACATCATATTTCATTTATCTTGGTATAAAATTTCTTTTTTAATGTGGACATTTGTGGCCATTCTCAGGGACTAAAAATGCAAACTGTAGCAAGGCTAGCTTATACATTTTTTAACCATTGGTCTGTGAAATTTGCAGTACAAACATTTAAAAAATATACCTTGAAGGAAATTAGGAATAGAGGGAGATCCTATTGCCCACAATTTCCTATAAAATAATATTATGAAAAATCAATCAATTATTACAATAAACGCCATATAAAAGTCGACCTCGTTAAAGTACTTACTTAAAATACAAATTCATCACTTGCATTCTGGCAACTTTAACATGGATCTTCTCAAACTGACTTAATTCAGTTGCAAAAGTTTTATATTCGAACATTGATTAGAAATCACTATCCTAGACATTTAATAGAAAATATACCATTTTCATCCAATCTGAATGAGCTTTAAAACACCTTTTCTCGAACCATGTTCAGAACRCTTCAAGTTTTTTCAGACTATTAATGAAGCATTGAGCTCAAATTAATACAGCAAGTGATAAAAATGAATCTTATTTCCAATTAATTAGCCTGCATGCAACCTGACTATAAGTCTCATTAATACCTTAAAACCAGTTATGCTCGGCTGCAGACAGCCTGCAATCAATTGGCTCAAGGAATGGCCATGGATTAATAGAATGCTCAATGATTTTAAAAAAGTGACAAAAAAACTCAAATTGTTCACAGTTTGAGTGTTCTTGCTGTAATTCCCATAAGATTGGCCTCTCATATGTATTGTATGTATTACATAGAAAAAGGTCATAGAGTCCCCCTCTATTAACTATGAAAAAGGCCAAGTGTGTAGCCTCCTTTAGTAAAGATTGAAATAAGAAATAAGCTCTTTAACAACATGAACTTTGTTTTTTAGGTTTTGGTTCTGGTTTATATACTTGAAAAGAACTCCTTTGATCAGTTTTCATAGAGCCTTGCCTGAGAAGTTGTTCACCAACATCATTAAGAAGGGTTTTGACCCCTGTACCTGTTAAAGCAGACGTTTTCAATTTCCTAGTTGGTACATAAGAAGGGCCAAGTTTTCTAAACATACTATCAACTTCTTTTTCATTAACAGTTTGTTCTGCTGTGGGTAAGTCAACCTTGTTTCTTATTAGTAACTTCTTGGCTCCTGGTGCATGATTTTGAACCTCGTCCACATAGTCTTTCAAATCTTCCACACTCTCCCAGTCATCAGCACTATATACCAAGAGAGCCACTTGCGCCCCCATGTAATATGACCGTGTCATGTTTGCTTCATGTCTATTACCCTCCATTCCAGCAGTATCCCACAGACACATCTATAAACATTTATAAAATAACTGTTAGTAGAAATCTTACGTTCTGATTGGCTGGGGGAAGGGGGAGGGGGGTGGGGGCATGCATTATGAGAGCRCACAGCATGCAAACTTTCTATTTTGTTATTCATGTAACTGGCTTTTCCTAACACTTCTCTTTAATAAGTTCTGCAATTCCACAAGTGCTTTATAACTGAGTATTGGGTAGGCCATATTAGCAGAGCCCATTACCCAGATTTTGGTGCACTTAATGAGGCCCCGTTAGGAATAAATTCTGACAAGCCACAATGGCGCGCCTTGAAACTAATGCAAGCTAGCAACAAGTAACAGACTTCTCTAATGAAATAGACAGTTGTGAAATTCAGATGGAGGATATGTTTACCCCCCCCCCCCTCTAATAGGGCCTCATTAAATAAAGACTTAAGCCTTACATGTAAGCTTAATGATGCATACTATGCTAATCAAAGACTTTCAAAATTACAAACGACTTTGTTACAAAGTCGTTTGTAATTTTGGTACCACCAAAATATAGATGTGAGACTTTTTCTAAAAATTGATTTTATGAATAATTTATCACTATTTGGAAAGATTACCATTTTAATGCTGTAATTTTTTCTTTTTTATAGAGTAATGCTAGCTCACCTGTACTGTTTTCCCATCATCGACTGTGATGCGATGAGTAAAATCTGAATCTTTGATTTTACTACRAGTTTCGTCAGAAAGGTCTTCCTTAAGAAAACGAAAAATACGACGAAACAAAGTCGTCTTGCCAACCCCTTTCACGCCAAGAAGAATCACTTTAAGTGGAACGCCGGGGCAAGAACTCTTTGTTAAAGACGACTCCAAATTATTCCCTCCCTCCGCCATTTTGGAGCCTGACAGACGACCACAGAGACCTTAGTAGAAGCTGACCAATATATCTTGCCGAAAATGAACCGAATCTAGACCGAAAAGAAACCGAATGAATCTCACGTACCTTGGCTGTACCGTAGCACATATATTTTTGATCTGTCCATATTAAAGGGATTTTAACCTCGAGATATCATCTTGTTTATTTTTGTTTCATAAATGCATTATTTTTTAGGATTAAGATTACGCAAATTAAATCAAAACCGAGTAATCTAAACTTCCGATGACCTTCCGAATACGTTCCGAAATGTTTCCGGTCAAATCGCTTCAGACTTCAATCAGACTTCGATCGCTTGAGTTTACTTTAGTTGCATATATTGAGTATAAAAAGGTGAGTTTAAACTTTTTGAGTGCAATCAAAAAATACTTTATCCTTTGTGAAGGCTGGTCGTTTTTTTTGTTTGTTTGTTTTCTGAGGTTCATAAGCTTATCGATACCTTGTTTCTAGTTGATCTTTTCCCCGGGATCTTTTCACACAGTTTTTCTAGTTTGACAGTAGAGAATGTTGAAGAAAACAAGCTTAAATTTTATTTCGTTTTAGCATGTAAGCTTTATACGCATTTCTAATAGAAAAAATAACTGAAAACTACGTTATTCTTTCTCAGGATGTAGGGTTGTTGCTATTTTATTCGCGTAATCTTAATTGTTTTACTCATGGCCCGTGCTGCAGAAGAAAATATACCACTAAATAAAAGATCTTTCAAAGTAATACTCTGTGGTGGTTGTGGCGTTGGAAAGACGTCTATATATACCAGGCTAAAAGATGAACATTTTGAGGACATCGAATCGAAGACAGTACTTCCCGATCAGTGCATAATAAACTTGACGACAAACAAGAATGTTGAAGTGAAGGTCAGTATGCATGCACTATTATAAACCTTCGTGTGAATAATAATGAGAAACACAAGTCATTCCAGCTATTCTTAGATCTTGGAATGACAGTCAATCTCACTGATCAGGGCCGTAGCCACCGGTGTGGTTGAACCGGTTTCAACTGGACCAACTGTTGGGAAAAAAATATAAGAAAACCAGACCAATCAGAAATTTGTGGCTATGGCCCTCTTTATCCTGCATTCATTGCTCTACCTCCCTAGTTATTGTTGCTACTTCGGTGTTGTGTTTTTGATATACAGCATGTCACATGGAATGGACACCTATTGCTGAAAATTGTGAATGTCTGTCTTTGAATTCGAGTTTTTTGGTCGGACATTCTACGGTATATTCCATTAAATGGAAAAAATTTTGGAAAACAACCCATAGTTTAGGTGGACACTTAAGCAAAGCCAGGATTGATCTATTGCATGTCACCTTTGGCTCCGACAACCCCTGGGGGGGGGGACTCCGGGAAAAAAGTACTGGGGATACTCGTTRGAAATTTTCAAAAAGACCCCTAAAAGATACGGGAAATCTTTAAAAAAGGGTGTGGCTGAATGATTTTTAACCCCTAAGAGATACCACAACAAATAATATTAAATTTTATATAAAAAGCGCCTAGGATAAGCCACATCAATGTGCGCTTCTCTCCTTTTCTGATGCTGATTCTCAAAAATTTGCATTTAACACCCTAAGAGATACCAAATTGTGAATTTTAACCCCTAAGAGATACGACGAGCATCCCCGGTACTTTTTTCCTGGAGTCCCCCCCGGGCCAATAACCAACCTTTTAAAAAATAGGTATGATCAATAGGGGGGAAGAATCAAGGCTGCCTTAGCAGTTAGCTCTCACATCTGGGGTCAAAATCACACATATACGAGTAGAGTTTGTTAGCTGAATCCCTTCCTTCAGTCACGGTTCTCTGGGTTCTTCAGTTTTCCTCCCTCCCTAAACCCAACACTAATTCGTGTGAGCTAGCTGTGCTATGACTTTGATCGGAAGCCAAGAGGCTGTTTCAGGGAGGGGTTATAAAGGGAAAGAGATAGGGACTGTTAGTAGCAGTATTATATTAATTCCCTTATTCTGAAGTTTGAACGACAAGTGATTATACCAACCAACCAAGGCCACCCAGACMAATTTTCATACAAATTAGCCAATAACGATTAAATATTTAAACAAAATCTGTACAATCTTTCATATTTTTTCCCTTTAAAAGCATATAATTAAATTTTACTTTATAAGAGTGTGTATGAATTAACAGGAGTAAAAATAATAATAATAAAAAGTTAAAAATCCAGAATTCATCAATAGACCCTTTTCAAGTTTCAGATTGACCTACTTCACTATATATGACGTCACTGCTTGTTTATGTGGGGGATAGAATCGCCAAATCCAATAGAAAATTCAACAAAATTTGCTCCTAGAGAAACAGTTTAACCTAAAATGGCCTGGTTTTCAGATAAAATATGTGTTAATATGTACTAAAAATATTCTGAGTGTTTGCTGGCTATTCTACTTCTCTTCGTGGATTGATACGGGTTTTAGAACAATTTTCGGTTAATTTGCGTTGATTTGACCCCCTCCGACAACCATGATCCTTTGCGTTTAAACAATAGATTGTTGAAGATTGTTTTGATGTGACATCATAGTGAATAAGGGAAATTACTGCTGAGTTTCTTGATTACAGACTTATTTGCTCAGGCTTAGCCTCGATTTTGTGAACAATATTCATGTGTTCCAGTCAAGGTCCGTCAAGTTTCAAAGTGTTCGTATTGTTAAAGTTGTACATTCTTTACTTTACCATTGGTATTTGCAAGTAATCAGATACTGATTCGAGGCTAAGCCTGAGTAAATGAGTCTGTAATCAAGAAACACATTGGTAATTTGGAACTCGAAACTTGAATATTCATGTATTATTCGGCTTTAACAGCGTGATTTGTGAATTTGATTTACAATTTGTTTGGGTGGTCTTGGTTAATGTAGTTGCAGCTATAAGCGATACCAAGTGATTTTGATCTTTTCATGTTCATTTAGGTTACTTTATGGGATACAGCTGGATTAGAAAAGTTTGACAGTGTTACTCATTCATACTTCAGTGATAGTCATCTGGTTCTTATTGTTTATAGCACTGACAAAAAGGAATCCTTAGTTCAAGCAGTAAAATACAAAAATGAAGCTTCAAATCATGCCCTTGGAGCCCATTTAGTATTGGTTCAAAATAAAATTGATTTGAATGACTCAGCAGCAATTTCTGAGCAAGAAGTAAAAAGCTTCTTAAAAAACAATGACTTCAAACTTTCATTCAAGGTATCTGCTAAAACTGGAGATGGAATAAAAGAAATGAAAAAGAAACTAGCAGATCATCTTCACAAGTATGGAAAAAAATGCAAGAAAAAATCAGGCACAGTGAATCTTGAGAATTCTCAGACTACCACAAAAAAGTGCTGCAGACAGCAATAAACATTGTTTTAGCTTGTTGAATGATCCCTGCAGAAAACACTGATGTACTCTTCTTTGCACCCAGTTTTAGCATTGTACTGTAACACAAGAGGACACTAAACGCTCTGCAGAAACCACTCCTATGCTAAGCAGTTTTTCTTCAGGTTCTCAGTTTCATCCCTCTGTTAAAATCAACATGTGAGTTGAGTGTTATTTCCATAGAACATTGAATTTAGTGAGTCAAAAGTGTCCCTGATTAGTGCGAAAGCCTAGACATTTAAAAACTAGAAAAGTGATTTATTTTTTTAAACATTGTGAATATTTATGATTATGAGAAAGCTACAAGGTCATGCAGTTGATCTGAAAGAGAAGTGCACTGCAGCAGTTTTCGAGAAGTGTACTGCAGCAGTTTTTATGACTCAATTTCAATTTTAATCATCTTGTACTATATTTTCATTTYTTATGTTATGTATCGTGCAGACATGCATTATGGAAGAACATGGAAGACCTCTGCATTAAATGTAGAATGGGACGTTTGTAATAGTAAAATGGCTTTCCTGTTGTAATTAATTCAAAATTCAATTTTTTAATCTCGTTTATTTAAGGGGCCGTCATAATAGGCCCTTTGCAGCTAAGCAATCACGTTCTGATTAATTCACTGAGAGCAAATGAGTGAACATTTTGATTCCCATGGGTGAAATTTACTGGACTGCAAACAAACTTTCTACAACCTGTTTCGAGAGATCGTAATAAAACTACATTTCGTGACACACGGGATACACATGTTGCCATTAATTTCTTTACAAGTAGCTAAAAAGAATCACCAATTTAAAATAAAAACATAAATTTTGCATTCCAGTACAGACACATGACCGTTAACTGCAAAGGGCCTATTGGGGAAACCTGTGACAATATCCCTTACCTTTCATCTGCTTATAATATTCGTTTGTTTTTCCTTTTCTTTTATACTATGATTCTATGTGAGGTAAAAGCTTAATAAATAAGTATGCATTATGCAGAATACATAATGTATTCTAAACTTCTCAGATATGAAAGCAGCTTACATTTCAGGGGGTTAGGACAAGTACAAGTTTATATCTTTTTGATTTTTAGGCATGACATCATCAAACCACCTTCAATATCTCCTCTCATCTACTGGTAAAATAAATTTTGCTTACCCTGGTATACAGAAAAAGTCAAATGTCTCCTAATTGAGAAAGTGTTCCAAAATTCAAACAACAAGCATTTATCTCTGACACCTTATTAAATGACAAGGGAAAAAGCATAAATAGCTCTTATTAACCGAGTGCGAGGTCCATACCGTAAGTTATGGACCGCAAATTGACCAATCATAGCACATGAAATTACCTTGCCATATAATAAGTATCAATACATTAACTTGATATTTATTAAAACTGAAATCAAAACGAATGTTATTTCATTACAGCTGTTTAATTTCTATTGTGTATCATATACATTATTAATCAAACCATAAAATGTTGAGGCCTAAAAATTAAAACAATTATTAATACTCTATTAATTGAATTCAGGATACATAATTAAACTTGAAATGTTTGTCTCTGACTTTTTTATTACATTACAGCTAACATGAGTAAATTTAATAAATGACGGAGATAGAGAAGTTTTTTTTCAAATTCTGTTTATCTCTGCAAGTGGCACAAATCGGCAAATGAGTGTGTGCATCCCCGTGTTTGTTTCACCTGTACATGTAGGTGAATATATAGTGGCATAAGACGTAAATTGTGACCAATGAGCACGCCGGATTTATTATATTCACTTGTGTAAAAATATGGCAGCCACAACTGGGAAACTGAATTCTTTCTCAAGTCATGTAAATCAGATAAATAAAATCATCGGTATTTACAAAGAGAATGAAATTCCAGATGTGACGCAGGCTACAACTTACATGACAAGTTGTGAAATTTTGTACCAACTTACATGGCCTGCGTCACACCCGGAATGTTTAACGAAGAAAATGTTTACAAAGAAAATTCGGATGTGACGCAGGCTACAACTTACGTTACAAGTTGTGAAATTTTGTTGCCTGTCTTAATACAATATCTGAAAGTTCAAAGGAATATAAAATGACACCTGCATGAAAACATTAAGTGGGGATAAGTTCTGTTCTTAAGTACTCAAAAATATTATATTGGTGATATTGACTGCAAACACTATAAATAGCACCATGTAGTACCAAATAACATTAGTGCGCTATTAAAAAAATTGAAACATATTTCTGGCGATATGCTTCCTTCAGTTAATTTATAGCTTTACTCTTAACCCAGCAGCTCTCTCCATCCTTGCAATCATTGCTTCATTATAAAAGAGCTCATAATTGCATTAAGATTCTGTTTGTGTTGTATGTAAAGTTTGACTGACCACGGGGCAATGATTCTCTTATTCATCAAGTTCAACCTTGACTTGAAACTGTTGTTTTGTGACCAGTCAAGCGAATTCGGGATAGGTCTATTGTAGAGGAATAAACTTTAGATACAACACAAACAGAATCTTATTCTGAAGGGAATAGCAAGTTGTCTGTATAGGGAAAACATTGCACCAAAATGAATAAGGTATATTAACATAATAATATAGATCTAGTTATATTCATAGATATTCTATTGTGTACAGTACATAGTTCCAAAAATTTTCCATACCTCCACCACGGAGGGAATTTGTAAAAGGAACCCCCTACCCCCAGGAGCTCCAATTTTCTTTAATACAAACTCTGTAATTTTGTTCTTTCTCTGACCCCCCTCCCCTCCAGAATTTCCAATTTCCTATGTGGGTGGGGTATGGGTAGTTTTTGGAACTACACATTTCAGATCATGTGTCAATCATTCCCTTGAGTATTAACACGCATATAATTATTCTTGGTTTTCACCTACGTCATGATGAATTTCAAAAGCATAAATTTGCATTATAATGAAATAGAAGTTCTATAATCTTGTAAAGCGGTCAAAACTACATATACTGGCCAAATTTTAAGGCTGTAAAGCATTCCCTTGCTGAACTATAGGCGAGTAAATATGACACAATTTTTGGTTAAAATGTATGGAGCAGCCATCTTGTTGTTCCAAGTTGGTACACCATCATGGCGGATGAAAATCCAAAGTCTTAAAATGATTGAATATTTAATAATTTTGACTATATTTCAATTAAATATACTTTAAATAGATATTTTAAACGTGTCTAAGGGAAAATCTTTCAACTAGAGTAAATTATTTTAATATTTTCATCTCTATTTAGACAGAGACGTGACAGTATTGCGTGATACAAACTCAACCTTCATAACTCGTAAATCAAATATCGAAATGACTCGAGAATTTTTCTTGTGACTTATGACACTGACTTCTAAAACATACTTGAGAAATGCCTTTATACGATCTATAGTTTAGATTTTCATGTTTTGATGACGTCATGTGAAAACCGGCAATAGATGAGACAACCGTTGAAACCACATACTTAAAGTGCACCTACACCCTATTTTTTTACATTCTTAACTGTTTGTACGGAACTTTTTAAAATGTTTTGTGGTATTTCGGTCACATTTGATAAAAAAATTGAATGCGAAAAATTGTTTTAAAAATACGAAATGCGTGGTCCATTACCGCAGTGGCAAAACACTGAACTCAAATGAATACAGGTCTTGATTTACTAGCTAGCACTACCTACATGTAGCTTGGCCACATTTGCATCTAGTTATAATTAATCAAGTATATGTGTGCCGTTACATGACTTGATATCAAAAAGCCGAAAGATGTGAAAATAGAGACTATCACATGTTAAGAGCTTGATATTGTTTTTGTTCAAAAGTTTCCATATGATATCGCGAACGAGTGATTCCAGGAGAGAGTGAGCAATATCGTATTGAAAACAAGTGAATAAAAAGAATGCCAGGCTCTTAACATGTGTAATTTGTTTATTATCTATCTAGTTTATACTAATAATATAGATTAACAACAGGTAGACTTATTTGCTGTATCTGTTGGCTGTGTTTGACCTGCTCTGAAGGAATCAAACCTATTAATTGTTGGTTCTACAGGTACGGGTTCTCTCATTTTCTTTAAAATTATTTTTCCAATTTTCAATAACAAGTCATCTATTCCACTGGGCTTTAGAGCAGAGGTGCTACAGAAATATTTAATAGTATAGCCTACGTCAGTAATCTGTGCAGAAACTTCATGTTCTCTGACAGTCTGATCCTCCAAGTCTACCTTGTTCCTAATAACGATCTTCGTAGCCTCTGGTGCATAATCGTTGACCCTTGTTATACAATTTACCAACCTTGTAACACTGTCGATACTGTCAGCACTATATACTAAGAGTGCCACATCACTGTTACGATAGTAGCCTCTGGTAAGTGTTTTCTCATGGTACTCCATGCCAGCCTCACTATCATACAATGTCATCTGGAAAATCATTAACAAAGTATTTGATTATTCAGGTTATTTATAAACATATATGGTTTGAATGCGGTTGTGAATGAGAATGTTATTTATTTTATGGCCAATATGCAATGTATACATGTACGTTTAGTTGATTTTTATGGAGGAAGGAAAACAGATAAACATAATAGAAAAAAAGTCCTTGAAACCTCTGAGTTGCATTGGATGTGCATGGAATAAGTAAACAGCACCTGTTTTTCCCTAAGGAAATTGAGCTTCAAGGAAACGAAGATTAAGTTGTAACAACACAGGAGAATGAAGACAATGACAATAATGACCATGACAACAAAAAAAAACCATAATAGCAACATGTACCATTGACATTACAAAAACAGTGACAGCAATAACAGCAGTAGTAGCAGTAACAACAACAACGAACAGAAGCAACAACAATGACAACAGCAACAGCAGCAACAACAACAACAGCAACAACAA